CTTGCTAGTGCTAGATTTTAAAGTGTGACTGACATTAGGCAATTTGCTGCATTTCAGCAAAAGCTCCCTCCCAAATACAGGCAGCACAGCTCATTCTTTTCATCAGGGATCACTTGGGAATGTTTCCTGTTCTTTGGAAAATACAGAGAAAGCAATTTTTCCTGCACTTCCTTGCTCAAAGTTATGTTACAAAACAATTCGTGTTCCCAAATAGTTTTCAATTTTTCAGTTGAGAACTTGCTTTTTTTGAAGGTCCTGTTCTTGAAAAGATCAATCACCAGTAACCACATATAAAATCTAAAGATTACCTTACAGTAAATGGGGTAATTTGACGCTAAGACTTCTTCATAGAACTTCAGTGAATTTAAAAGTATTTGTAAGAAAAATTATAATTAATCGAAACATTTTACTTCTTTACCACAAAGTTAAAATGCTCAAAACAGCTTTAAAAAAAAAAAAAGCTTTCAATTTAAACAATTTTTATCAAAGTCGCCAAGATAAAACATCCCAAGACAAACAGCAGAGCTGTGAGGAATACAAAAACCCGACACAAACCCAGTCTCAGTGAGTGAGGGGGAGGTCCTGTTCCCCACAACTTTAACCCTGTAGGAATTTGAATGAATTAAAATGTTACTACCTATCTAATAAAATGTTTAATACTGAATAACTGATATGTTTTAAATACCATGTTCAGTTTATTATACTGTTCATTGAGGATACACAATTATTTTTAGAGTATTCAACAACCATCAAATCATTTTTTCCCCCTAAAAATACTCTTGCATTTGTCCTGGTTTAACAGTTACCTTGCAGAGAAATACTCTCTGTTGCAAGTGGGATAAATATATATATATATGGAAAAAACTACGTACAAAAACGTCACTTCTTAGAAACAAGGCACGTGCCAATTCCCAGGCCACCTTCCCGGCCACAGCGAGGTGTGCCACTCTGAGAGCGCTCGTTTCAGGAGCCACCTGTCGGGCGCAGCGCCGCACCTCCGGCGCCTGGCGCACCTGTACAGAACAGGCTCTGAGTTCCTACACAGTTCTAGGCACTCAGATGCTTATATGAGTTAACATTTGACTTGCATTTATCCACATCACAAAAACTCTGAACCTCTAACATACCAATCTCATCACCCAAGTAAAAATCAAATCTGCAGTCTTAGCAATCTTTAATTTTAAGATCAGTCAGGGAATACTTTAGCAGTGGAGAACACACTTCTCCAGTTTAAATTAACTCCTTCCTTCCTCCCAGGTCATCACACAGCCAGGAGTAGATTAACCTATTACAACCTAAAGACAGTATGCCAGGTGACAAGTCCGTGTTCAAGACTTTCTAATTTGTGCTATATTCTCTTCAAGCATTTAAATGGTACCCATAGGTCATTTAAAAAAGGCATAACAAAGACTCTATGCAAGTACAACCGAAGGAGTCTCTTTTTCACAAAATTAAAACATCCTACATGTATATTTTCATTACTTCTAATACTGAAAAATAACTAGTAATTTGACCCATTCTCAAGTCTCCCTTATTTAGGAAAAAAAAGTTGAAACACAGTAGCTCTAAAGCTACTTAAGAGTCAACAGCAGAAGCTGCATTGATCTGATTTCAACATTATATGCAGCGATTCTCAAATCTGTCTCACCTGATGGTGCACATAACTAATTACTAAAATTCTGTGGCACGCCAAAAATTATAGGTTGTCGATTTGACAAAAAATAAATATAACTTTAATTCATTCACATCGGACCACTAGTGTTGTGTTGGCTGTTGTCATTTAAAAAAAATCCTTACCCAAGGATGTCTACTGACTTTAGAGAAAGAGGAAAGGAAGAGAGAGGAGAGAGAGAGGAGAGAGAGAGGAGGGGAGAGGAGAGGAGAGGAGGGGAGAGGAGAGGAGAGGAGAGGAGGGGAGGGGAGGGGAGGGGAGAGGAGAGGGAGGGGAGGGGTGGGAACACCGACTGGCCGCCTCCCGCCCAGGCCCCACCGGGGGAGGCCCGCAGCCTCTCAGTGCGCAGAACAGCACTCCAACAGGCTGAGCCACCCCGCCAGGGCTGCTGTCATTTGTTTACTTGACCATCTAAGGGAAAGGAGGTCAGTGCCCCTGACTAAATAGTCAGGGACTGCATGTTTTAAACATTCTTGTGGCGCACCGGGTGAAAATCGCTGTGACGCAGGCATCACCTGGGTAATTTCAGGTTCCTCTGTTAGTGGCACCTGACTCATACTGTTTGGCAGGCCGACATCGGCCATTCCAAAAAAGCTTTTGTCTTGTTTCTTTGTGTAGTTATAAAACACAAAGTAAACTGCTAGACACCATACTCTTTTGAAGCCACTTAGCATTCAGGGAAAAACTGTTTCCACGTCATCATCAATGCGCCCTGTTTCTTTATTGTTCTCCTTATTTACTGGTCTTATATCTGCTGGATGAGAGCCAACTAGCTCCAACACTGGCCTCAATATATTCATTGCTAGGAAGTTAAAGTCCCAACGACCTGGCTTCAAGTCAGCCAGAACCAAGGACCAAAGAGAGTCTGACTCAAAATTTCAAAAGATAAGCAAGCTTAAAATGTCCGAGTCTTCCTGAATTGATCCTTAAACATGGATTTCCCTACATAACCTTTACACCAGGTTTTCTCAAATACATGGATTAACAGCATCAGAAAATTGCACATTCCTATGTCCAACTTCATACCTGTTGAAATCAATTTCTGGAGGCTGAGCCCCAGGCCGAGCATGCTCCTGTAAGTTCCTGAGGGATTCTCAGGTTCCAGTTTGAGAACAACTCCCCTAGATACCTACTGGAAAATGTTACTTTGACACATAACACAGTAAGTATATATTTATAGTTAAAAGAAAAATGGTTTCAAATTATTGCAAATGTGATGATTTTAGAATAATTTAGGTCAACTAAAATTAGGTCAAAGGCTGCATTTCAAAAGAAACCTCTCAAAAACACAATGTTTCCCACTATAAACTTTGGAAAACCACTATTTAAAATTTTAGCAAGTGCTTTTGGCTGGCTAGACGTAAGAAAACCTGGTCAGCACTAACTATACTAGCTGCCAGGGAACAAGTGCTTTTACCTTGTTGCATTTAGTGATCATGACAACTGAAAAAAGGAGAGTATCAGGATAGAGATTCGCTATTCAGATCCGGGGGCAAAAAAGTGAGTAGCTACCACAGATTTTATCTTCACTGAAAAAAGATACATTATATACTTTAAGCAATTACCTAAAAATTTGAGAAAAATTATTTAGTATTAATGAAAGCCAAGTAATACAGTCTTTTCAAATTATGTATTATTTTATTAACATTTAAAACCTATTAAATGCATTGTTATTTTGTACTTTTATTATTTTAAAAAACAGCAAAAGATTACTTGAATAGTAAAATATGCCAAATTAAAAATTTGAGGAGTATGGCATTTCCTGCCTCTAAAATACTTTAATGGTTAAAACCAATGAAAAAACCAAAACCTTCTGCTTTTATAATGGGCAACCATGGATTTTATTAAAAGTGTATAATTGTATTAACTCCTGACTTTAAGAATGCAACACTTTCAGAGAAAACAACATTCACCTGTATTTTCAAAAGTTCTATCCACTTGATCTTTTCCTTTTACCACCAAGATGTCTTCAAAGCTATAAATGAAAAAGGGTTTTGTTTTTGTTTTTTGCCTTAAAATGTTAGGAGGAGGAGTAGGGAGAAATAGAGAAATATAGTATTAAAAAAAATGAGTCCAAATCAACTGTTTGTAAGTTTACCTCATTTTTCTAGATGAGATTAGCTGCCGCATTTTCCTTTTTCGATGATCTATTTGATGTGAAAAAATGTGCGCAGCCTGTTTTCCTACCTGCCAGCCATTCCGTGGCTTATCTGCCTTGTGTCCCAGGTAGATGCTGCAAACATCTGGATGCAAAAAGGGACACAAGGTCCAGTGGAACTGCTTCTGAGGGAGGTCTGCTGCATGTCAAGCCACCGCTCCAAGTGCTTCCACATTGTGCTCAACTGCTCTCCTACACAGCTTGGTCTCAAGCTTTTATGGAAGGACCTCCACAGCTCTGAAAGTCAAAACTGACCACACATGGAAAACTACCTTTATTTTCCCTACGTTGCATTCTTTTATCTTGTGACATTCTGCTCATTCTAAAAAGTCTCTTTCTTTTGGGATGTTCCGCAAAACTGTCAGAAATGTTTACCTTAAAGTGCTTTCCGACTCAGGCAAAAGGTTTTGAGTTTGCCCTAGGAGGAACGGCGTGGAACGGGGCAGTATGCGGGGAAAGCTGCGGGAGCAGCGGGGCCAGCGTAGGAAGCCACACGGCTCATGGGAGAAGAGGACAGGCTGTGGCCAGGTGCAGTTCAAAGCGTGGACCCACTCATCAGCTAAGGCAACCTCGGACCACTGAGTCAGCCTTTCTAAAAAATGTCTCACTTGCTAAATGAAGGTAACAGTACTTAGCTCTTTTAAGGCTGTTTGGGTACTGCCTCAGAGAGTGTTTGGCACAGAAGTAGTTGGGATTATCATTCACCCTAGGTAGTTAAGAAAGTTCAGGCCCTGGATGGCGTGGCTCAGTGGATCGAGTGCTGGCCTACGAACCAGAGTCACGAGTTCGATTCCCAGTCAGGGCACATGCCTGGTTTGCAGGCCAGGTCCCCGGTTGGGGGGTTGTGAGAGGCAACTGATCAATGTCTCTCTCACATGCTGAAATAAAAAAAATATTTATAAAAAAAATTTTTTTGTTAAAAAAAAGAAAAAGAAAGTTCAAAGGGCAACAAGGAATCCAGAGGGAATTGGAGGCAGAGAAAGACAGGCTTGACCGCACAGTGAAGAATGTGTCGGAGGGAGCCGAAACCGGGAGTGAAGTCCGTGGGCAGGTTGTGTGAGCGCTCCAGGTGAGAAGCCGCAGGCGTGCCCTGTGCTGGGATGAAGGGGAAAAAGGTATATGGACTCTAGAGATGCTCAAGATTCAAAAGGGATAGGAAGTTGTGGCTACCTGGGGGTGAAGGAGGACGGGGACCAGAATGGCCCAGGATCCAGCTTCGATGGCAGTACCGCCCACTGGCTTCGGCAGGAGGGAGAAAAGGTCTGAGAGAGACTGTTGGGAGGACAAAACAAGCAGTTAGGGTTAGGCTGGCTGAGCCCAATGCAGGTATGGGGGAAACACTGGCAAGCTAGACGAATATGGGTTTCCAATGCACACAACAAATCTGGACTTAAGACACAGATCTTGGAACCATTAACACAAGGAACATAGGGGACTGAAGATTACCCAAGAGGTACAGCGTGAACAGTGTGAAGGTCCAAATTCGACAAAATTCCAATACTTCAAGGTTATAATGAGGAAACGTGTGCACAGGACAGAGAGCACAAATAGGAGGTGGCCCAGGCAGTATTATTAAACTAATGAGGAGAGTTTCAAAAAGGAAAAAGTTACCAACAAAAAACTACCCCTAAAACATTTACTGACATCTACAAAGAAGCCATACAGGACATACATCGCGAAGCTGTCAGGTCCCCTTCTGCAGAGAACAAGGAAACCTTATAACTGCTAAGGCACTGGTTCCAGGTTGTTTCAGTTTTACCAACTTACGGCCCGTTAAAAATTTTCCTTCTGTTATTAGGAAAAAAAAAATCACTGCATTCTTTGTGAAAAGAGACTGACAAGAAACTTTAGAAACTTTAAATGCATTTATTATTACCCCCTCTAGATCACTTTTTCTCTATTCTGAAAGAATACAAGAGCGCTATCACTATGCTCATCTTGCCTCAATGTTACATCATTTAAAGAGTTTTCTTCTCCCTCTAGAAAACTGGTTTCTACCTCCTGAATGAAATGTTTATACTAAAAGGAAGCACTAGATACCCCTGCTTCTGTCAACCAGACACCAGTGTAGTAGACCTCCAGCAGAGAAATGATTAAATACAATCATTTCTCAAAGTGCTAGTGTTCCCAGAGCGGGTAAACCTTTACCTTGGGTCCCCATCAAAATGTGGTAATCTACAGCCATACCTGAAATGACTTTCACTAAAACTGTTATACTTAAAATTATCTTCATCTCTACTGGCAGCAATAAAATTAACCTTTTAAGAAGAAAATTAGCCCTGGCTGGTGTGGCTCAGCAGACTGACTGCCAGGCTGTGAACCAAAGGGTCACAGGTTTGATTCCCAGTCAAGACAAATGCCTGGGTTGCGGGCCAGGTCTCCAGTAGGAGGTGCACGGGAGGCAACCACACACTGATGTTTCTCTCCTCTTTCTCACTCCCTTCCCCTCTAAAAATAAGTAAGTAAAATCTTAAAAAAAAAACCCAAAAACTAAATTAAATACATTTCCTCAAATGCAGAACAAAGGAACTATTCATGACATAAATATTTAAGCACCAACAAACATTTTTCAATATTCAAGTGAAAATCTTTCTATTCATGAATAAAGTATTTACCCGTATAAATTCTGACACATCCAGCAAATTTAAATGCATAGAAGATGTATTTCATAAAATTTTTTCAGCAATTAAAAGTGATGTGTTTTAAGGTTTTCTTTTCTATTCCAAATAAAAAAACCAAAGTGTCTAGAAAATCAAACTTTTCAGGTAGGACAAGCAAAATACACATTAAAAAAACCTTTCCCCTGAAACAAACAAAATAACCAATACACCAATATGAGCTCTGAAAGTTAGATAACTGTTACCAGTAAATTGAAAAAAAAAGTACATACAATAAGTTAAATTATTTAAATTGCAAAATGAGCTAGACAAATTCAAGATTATACATGCTCAGCTACTGGTTGCATCAATGAGGTAGAACTTAACCCACGACTTATCATTGCCTCTCATTTTTACATTATATTTTTATTTGTCTTGATTTTTTGGTTTAAAACAACTTTTAAAGTTTATTCTGGAAGAGTGAGTAGTTAACAAGTTCATAACCTGAGCAGTCAGAGCCCACTGCAGTTCACGGACTAGCTGGCAAGAGCCCGTGTAATCAGCAGTTACAGCCAGACAAAGAATGGTCCTAAAGACAAACAGAAGCAACATGTCTCGGACCCCCATGTGTATGTAGCCATCTTTCCTTTATTTGAAAACCTGTGAAATCCTAGGAAGGTGCTGATATACCAGTTTTAAATCCTAAAGCGATAAGATACATGTTCTGTATCTATATTATATTTTAAAAATCAGAAATGCACATATAGTAACAAAGGCCTTTCATATCTGTTCAGACACAGGTAACGTTAACTGGCACTGTCCCAGGCCCCACTCTAAAAATGTCTCAGATATTTTCTTGGAAGAAAATATTTCTTCTGGTATGTGCTTACCAGAAGCAGCACGTACTCAGGAAACCTGGCCTGAACCACAACGCCAGTGTAAAATATTAAGCCCTGTATTGCCTGGACAGCAATATATGTAATAAGTAAAATACCCAACAAGAATATAATCACTCACTCAAGTGGCTAACCATTTTCCCAATTTCCTTCAGATGATTTTAGTGTCCAGAAAATGGATTTAGATCCATCCACATATTGGAAAGTAAAATCTAAATTAGATTATTAGTTTAAGCAAAACTAATCAATAAGTCCCAGGGCTTCAGAGGCACGCTTTCAAAGAACCCTTGAGGGGCTGCCCTTGAAGAACTTCGGAAGCACATCCCGCTGGTGGCACATGAACTGGTGTGCCCTTTGTGGAAAGCAATTTGGCCAATGAAGTGTTCATATCCTTTGATCTAGGTAAGCCCACTCCAGGGGATTTTTCCAAAGCAAATAAATCATTTAAAAAAATTAAAAAAGCAAGCAACCAACAGGAAAATATTTAAAAATTTACACATAGAAGTCTGTTCAAAACAATGCCATTTTAAATGGTGAAAAGCTAGGAACAATCTAAATATAAAACCGGCAAAAAAGCCTAGGTAAAATAAGGTCCCACTAACAAAAGAATTACATAGCAACAGAAATTAAAAACAATTTTAACAACAGATGATAGACATATTGTAGTAAAAAATCTGCACTTCTTTACAATTATGGGGGAAATATGGTAGGGTACAGAAGGGAAGAGGAAAAAGAAAGGGCACCACACAATAATCTTGTGGGTATATGGGTAACTTTCCTTAATTTTATTATTATTACCTTATTTAAGGAATAGATAGAGCAGAAAAGCGTTCATTTTAAAAGCTGTGCATGATTTGGAAGCAGCAGCATAGCAAATACAAGTATTATACTGGCTGAAATGCCTAGCTGGCATTTGGGCTGATTATTCAAGTAAACTTTTATACCTAATGTCCATGAAATCAAAGAACAATAGAAAGAAAATATCTCTAAAGAAAACTTCTGGTACTGAAACATAATACAATTATTTCCTAAGAAAGAAATGTCAACAGATTCATACATACTTTTGAAAAAAAGTTTTGGTAGCCTCCTTATAGGTCTTAGAAATATATATCCCATTCATTTCCTGTTTCAAAAAGGTGTTAATTACTTATCTACACCTCTGAAATAAATAAAGTCTGAATGAAGGAGAAAGCAGTTTTACCTTGTTTTATATAAAATAATTCAATGTTCTTTTTTTTAAAAAAATAAAAGCTAAAATTATGAGTATATTAAAAATGCCAACACACTGCTAAATTTAAAATATTCTGAAGTTAAAAGGGGGTGTGTGCAGGGGGTAAAAGAAGAAAATTAAACAATTGGCATTTCAATTCTTAAAAAATAAAACAAAACAAATTTAAGCGTACCACATTCATCTGTCTTTTAGCAACTTAACACCTTAAGTTTAAGGAAAATGGCATATCAAATCGACCTCCTCAGCATGTCATTTGTAAAAACTGACAAATGCCTGCTCAAACACACAGTCCAAGAGCAGAGCCTGTTACTGGAGAGGATTTTGATTTAAACATTTTTAAAATGACACTCGGATTCTTAACTAAAAATAATTACAGAAGAAAGCCAAGTTTGATTCTCTGAACACCTATTTCCTGTCCAAACAGCCCTTTTGTTCTGCTTCCCTGCTTAATTTTAATTTTCAGTTTGCATCAGAAAACAGCAACAATGACAAAACCTGGCAGACACAGAAGCACAGAGGAGCAAAAGTGTAAAAGTAAGGATTATTAAAAGATGAGAACAAAAATCCTACCAACAAAACCTCCACAATTTTCTGTTTGCTTCACCTCAGATTAACTTCACTTGAAGCTGTACCCAAAGCAACCAAACCTGAACGTCAAGCTCCACCTTCTCTGATGTTAGTGGCTGAAGAGCAAAGTCTCCTCCCTGTTAGTGGAACTGGTCATTGTGATTGGATACGGCTAATATCCATTATTTTAAAGAACTTTTCCTTGCTAGCAGGTTAGGTTAAACGCACTAAAACCCCCTGGCTAAGCTGGTTTCTTAAAGTAACAGTAGGCAACGTTTCAGTTTTCCCATCCTGTGTTATTTGCTTACTCTTTTGTCTGGGTAAAAATAAATAAGCTAACAGCAGTGAAAATGTCACAGAAGCAGCTTTAGTTTGCGGTTCAGTGACCAACTGCTTAGAAAACAAGGCTTTTAAACCTAAATCATTCGATATTTTTACAGAGCCATGAAGGTGAAGTTATGCTTCATAAAGATATACTCCTTTTTCAACAGAGTTCATATTTTGTCTGAAAATTTTAGAACAGCAGCAGAAAATCCATGGCAACATTTTGCTTAGAGGAACAGGACAGTATTTTCTCTAAGACTTAAACAGAAGACCGGAACTTAAGTGAAAATATATAGCGCTAAAATACTGAATGCAAAACATGAATTTCTAAGCTACCTATCAAATTCACTGATATTTATGTTCTCAGTATAGGCAGAGTAAAATTTTCAGTGACATCAAAAACTGATACTCCTACTTAAAAAATGAAGAAAAATGAGACAGGAATATTATTTTTCTATCAGCATATTTACAGGTCTTGACGATGTGTCTTTTGCCAAGCCAGGGACTTATGCACAGCAAACGGATATCTATAAAAGGAAAAGGCAACTTGTTCTACTGGCATGTTCACGTAAAAAGTTTAGGATGGCCTGAGTTGTTTCTTCTTAATGTTATTTTTAAAAATAAGACTGGATACTATTTTGCACCCCACTTACTACTTTAAGGCACAGGCACCCTAAGATGCAGCTAAAGAGTCTGTATACTCTCCTTAAAATACTATTATATTAAATGCTATTTCTACGACAGAGTTTTCTAAAGAGAGTATATGGACACTCTGATTTTTAAACCAAAAAAGACCTCCTGTCACTTTAAACATCATTAAGTCTGCTATGTTTTACTATATGCTTCTTTAATTAGAACTGTTGTTTTAATAGCTTCGTCAAGTATCACTCTGAAGTTAATCATTATCTGATTGAATAACCTTTACTTTGTTCGGTAAAATATAATGTTCACCTCTACCAAAAATTCTGACTGATTTATAAAAACAAGTTCAAAATTAAAGCAAATTAGAGTGGCTCTTCTTAAAATATACCTTAAGTTTACATAAAGAATTTTAAATGTAAATTTACAGGTTTCAAAGTTCAAAATCTCACATTGTTCCTCAAAGAAAATTCATATATTAAACCACAAAGCCAAAAGCTTGTATTGAATACAAACAGAAGTCTTTGGAAGAAAATGAAAATACACGTAATTGCAACTAGACACGAACATGGAGCAATACCATGCAGGAGCCCAAACAGCTGCATAATCTATTATGCCTTTTAAGTGGACAAATTGAAAGAGCCAATTCAGGGGTCTAGGTCCAAGACCCCTTGCAAAGGTTCATTGCTTTGAATGCCCAGCACTTCACGAGTCAAGTTCAGGTTTTCTCCCCACTGTGTGGACACTTGCGAAAGAACACAGGAAGCAGAAGAGGTACAGGAGCAAACAACAGGCACAATACATAATGTGAGTTACAGCATGAAACTTGAGAGAACAGATTTTAGATGGCTCAAATTTTATAGGGCTATAGAAAAAAGATGGGCAAGTACTTAAATCTTAAAATCTGGCAAGGATAAAATCAATAGACAGTGATGAGAATGAAATAAACCTTTGCTCTGACACAATCACTTCAAAGTTAACTACTGGTATAAACAGACACGTGTCACCAACACCAGTGTACCAGCAAGACCGCTCTCAACCCGAACCCAAAAGGAAAGAGAGATACAGATTTAGCTATTCCACACTGATCAAAGATGTCCAGGATCTTTTTAACTGAAAGAAGTTAAAGGTGATAAATATCATCTGAAGGTGGCTTATGGGTCAACATTAAGGGTACTGCATTCTATTTCTAAATCAGCAGCAGAAGAAAGCAGCCAAAAAGAAATAAAAGGAATGCAGTATCATGACCCAGATTATTTAACAACAATATTGCTTCATAGGAACACAGCGTCTGCAAAGACTCCCTGACTGAATGTGACAATACCCCTTTCTGAACATCAAGTATTCAAAGGACTCATTGTATATTCTTTGTGGGAGCTCAGAGGTTTCCCAAACCTACCAACTAAAAACAAGTTAGAAGAGAACAAGGTGTTGAACCACTTGGTCTCATTTCACTTTTGATTTAAAAGGCTCAATGTACAGAATCAATACCTAGATTATTAGGGATCGCTTTCTGTACAAAGAGAGCAGAGTGAAAACTTCCTTAGAATTTTACAGGACTGAGCTCAAGCTATTCTTCCTACAACAGAAATGTATCCTTGGCATCATCCCTGTGCACTACAGGTGGTTTACACAGATAAAAGGACCAGGCCCTGACATTACATTAGAAAACATGACTGTGGTCACTAAAGATCAAGTCTGAAAACCACCAACTAATTAACAAAACAAGTAGTTTTTACAAATATTCCCCTGAAAAATACACACTGCTTACAAACTGAGGTATGTAGTTGAGTGTGCAATTCCTGAGATGTATATTCTAACTCATTAAGGGGAAGAAACACAAGGTGCATATGTAAGTATGGGAAGGTGGTAATAGCCCATTCAGCAAAATACTAAACACAAAAGAAACACTAAGGAAACAAACAGGTAAGAAAGCAAAAACCTATCTGAAAGAAGAGATATCTTTCTATGAGACAGTGAAATCACTTTCGGTCTAAAGGGTCAACACAACAGATGCAAATTAGAAAGAAATAGGGATCACAATATTGAGACCAAAGGAGAGTAAGGGAAAAAAACACCATAATCCTCAATTATGAAGAGTTAATAGTCATACATTTTCATGTGCCAAACAACATACCGAAGTAAGGAGCTAAGCATAAAAAAAAAAATGATAGGAAACTGGCAGACTTTAAGTTCCCTCTCTCCTTAGCAGCCTATGCTATAAAAAAAGATAAATGATCCACACTACTTAATGAGGTTAATTTTTTATACAGCTATCAAAGGAAACCCTTCTTTTCTCAATAGAAAATTTTTTAAAATTATAGTCACAAGCTAACAATTTTGAAAAGCAAAAGCTGAACAGGTAACATTCTCCAATCACTACGCAATAACATTCAAAGTGAACAAAAAAGCTTGTTCACTCATCAAACCTGTCGCACGCCTCCTCCATGCTGGGCACCCCCAGCAGTTGTGGACGCCACAGTGACCTGTCCCCGCCGCTGGGTAACATGCGGGCTGGTCAGAACGGGGCTGTCCAACAGAGAGACGGGAGCCGCACACAATTTTCTATTTTTAGCACCCACATTAAAACCTTAAACAATTAAACTAATTGTAATAATATATTTTATTTAACATAAAACATGTAAAATAGCATTACTTCAACATGTAATCAATATCTCATTGATTTCAATTCAGACTTGCTGTGTTTCAACAGTCAGATGTGGCTACTTAAAATTAAGTAAAATATGTAGTTATCAGCCAGATGATTATTTATAAATTAAGATATATTTTCATCATTGCAAAAGACCCTATTTCTGCTGTCCAACAGAAAAGCCACAAGCCACACGTGGTTACTAAGTACATGAAAGATGACTAGTAAGACTAAGGAACTGAACTTTAGTATTATTTAATTTCAATTAATTTAAAGAGTCACAAGTGGCTGGTACGTACCAGATTGTAAAGTTCTGCTCTAGAGGAAGAAACAGACACTAAAAACAAACCATTTAATGAACTGCAGTTGTTACAAGTGTTTACAAAAGAAATATCCAATGTGAAATGAGGAACTACAGCCAAGAGAAGGACTTAACCTCTGCCAGCATCAAGGGAGGATTCTTCAAGGGAATCAAAAGTGAAGGGGACAGCGTACGAAAAGGTATTTTTATTAGGTGGGGGAGATGGAAAATAGAGTAAGAAAAAAGAAAGAACCAAAATCATTTAAGTTATTTGTAGGAGACGGCTCTCAACAGAATCGAAACAGGACAGGAAGGCAGAGAAGTGGAAGCTGCTCAGCCTCTCAGAGATGACAGAAGTCTCCCAAGTCAGTCTCGTGAGAAAGCCTGTCCCCCTCCCCTCACCGGGTGAGCTCCGGCCGTCCAAGCTGCCCACTCCTAGACCAGGCCAGGCACTCCTGGCCCGCTCCGCGCCGCGCCGCAGCCGCTCCCCCCGTGGGGAAGCTCCCCCCAGCTCCCTGGGGGTCTTAGACCTCAGAGTCACAGTTCCAGGCAGTAACTGCTTGGAAGATGGGGTAAAGCTAAAACTGGTTGCAAGGCAATTTTTACAAAAATGTTACAAAACAAATTCAGCGTGTCATCATTTTTTAAAAATGTCTTAAAAGATTGGAAAAGCTACAGAAATTCCACAAACATACTCAGTATCACCACTAAGCTTCAATGTTTCATCATCAGAGAGACATTCTCAGATCATTTAGCACACCACAGTTCTTTCCTCGCTGGCACTTGTGAAAAATCTGAAAATTCTTTACTCATTGGTGTGTTAATAGCCTATGTTCCCCAACAGACTATAAACTCCATGAAGGCAAAGACCTGGGTATGGTTCATCATTGTATCCTCAGCACTTAGCACAATTTCCAGCTAGCACGGAACAGTGTCTGAAAGAAGGCAAACTGCGCCGCACGGATTTTAAATAAAGTAAACTGTCACATGTCAAAATTTAAGAAACCTGGCTAACACTATGGACGACATTTTTTTTCATTATATGACATGAAACATTAAATGTAGAAACAATACAATCGCTATTTTTAAATTAAAATTTCAAAACCAAACCAACCTGAATACTCTATAGAGAATCAAATAAACTGGAGGGCTAACAAAGCAATTAGCAAAAATCTGAGGAGAAAAACAGAAAGGGGAAGACTTAAAAAAACAAAATGAAAACACATTATTCCCAGTTACTAAAACAACATGTACTGGTATCAAATCATTGGTACTAAATAAAAGGTAAAAAGAACCAAGTATATATTCATGTCGCATATGATGAAGGTAGCTTTATTTCAAGGCAAAAAGAAAAAGATTTTTTAAATAGGTCTGAAATAACAAATTAACAATTAAAAAATAAGGAAAGTTATTTCACTGCATTTATTACGTCAAAATAAATAACATATGAACAGAAAAAGGTAGATGTG